ATTTCAGCAATTAATACAATGCTTACCATATCAAAAAAATGATGTAATCAGATACAATTCACTTGAAAAGAAGCTAAAACCTATACTGAGGTAGTGGGTGGCGACGGAGAAAGCAGAGGAGAGAGAAAGGAGGAGGCAACGAGAAAAAAGAAGCCGCAGAAGAGAAATAAAAGGGAGATGAATTTTTAAGCATGCAACTAATAAAATTCTTACCACATCAAAACAAAATCAATAAGCCAGTCTTGTATGGACGCGATCCATTTTGAACACAGCTATTGGTAGTCTTAGAGGAAAAGAGAAAGCAGAGAGTGAGAGTACTTTTATATTGATTATTAGCATGCCATGTCATGAGAGTTTTATAACAACAATATCAAGTCTTACTCAATCAGTCTAGACACAAATCATAGCCTAAGGGGACAGCCTGAAGGAAGAGTCACAGAAATAGCTGCTGACATGGAAGCGGGCTTCGAAAATGAGATAACTACAATAAAATGAGCAAAACTATCGTAATAAATACATAACAGAAGTAGTACCATACTTTTCTGGGGATTTCAAAGAATACAGAGGCAAAACTAAGAGCTAAACGGCCAAAAAATAGACACATGTAGACTGGCAGTAATGGAGGACAAAGAGAAGGAAGCCATTTGCAGTAGTGGTGGGCGATATATCGATATTTTATCGATACAAACGATATTTTACGGTATCGATTCGTATCGGTATCGAAATTTTGAAGGAATCTGGATCGATACGTTGACCACGCCCATTTATTATGGTTAAATAATATTAATAATGAAAATTTTAATAAGTTAATGACGTATAATACACACACGTGGATACACGTGCATGAAAACATTGATGAAAACAGTCAATAATAAGGGGTGTGACTCCATAGGTGTGGTCTAAATATCGTATCGAAACTGTATCGATACTCTCGATATGAGCTGATATCGATCGGTATCGTATCGAATCCATTTTGGCCAGTATCGCCCACCACTAATTTGCAGCTGGATTAATTTGGAACTGAACTGCGCATGCGCAGTGGGCGTGGCATTACTAGATTAATTATTACATTATTATTATGAGTGTAATTATTACACATTGATGGTGGGTATTTTCCACCAAAGGGGGGAATATAACACCAGGGGGTTTCACCCACATTGGTGGAAAACCAAAAAGTGGGTACCTTCCACAAATATGGTGGGTATAACCCACCATCGTTTTTGCAGTGTGACCTCTTGACTGATGGTAAACAGTGGATGTGACATTTACATTATCACTTTGTAGTGATGACCTTTATTAGTAATACCATAATGGTATAAGTAAAGTATTTGATTGTACCTTTTGTTGGGCTCAAATTGTTTGTCTTTACTTCTTCTTGTAATGACAATTTTGATAATCAATAATAAGATAATAACAAACACTGCACTGATGATGATACCAATAAATATTCCACCAATCCATGAGATAGCTCCATTTGATGATGATGATGCTACAGTAGCAGTAGCTGTAATAAAATACACAATAATGAGACCATTAATTTTATGCTCTTTAAGTTACCAGCAGGAGTAAATGATAATGTAGAAGAAGTGCTAGAGCCAACTTCTTGAAATCCTTTAAAGGGTAACTGCACCCAAAAAATTTTTTCCCTGAAATAAGTTGGTAATAAAGAAAGAATCATAGGAAAAATAGCTAAAATTATTAAAAAGTACCAATTCTGTACTAAATCTTGGGTCAAAACTTGTAATTTTTTGCCTTACAGCCATCTTGTCAAATCACTTCCGGTGGTGGGCGTGGTCACGCGATGACGTAGTGGGGGAACATTAGCAAGTTTCTGCATTGAAATAATTATTAGCA